AGACCTAAATCCTAAATCCATGTGAAGAAATAGTGTTGTTAAAGGTAATTACATAGATAAATGTAATACAGTATAAGTGTATTTTTAGTTTGTAACTCCTTTTTTCTCCTGTCTGATTCAAAAGACAACTGAATAAAGCAATAATTTAAATCTGTGTTGATGGGCACACATTTTATAAAGATGTAATTTATGTGACAATAGTATCACAAGGCAGGTAGAGGGCACAGAGTTTTATATACCAATGAAATTAAGATGGTATAATCCAAAGTAGAACATTATGTTAATTATAATCCAGAGGGAACCACTAAGATAAATAGCTGAAAATATATATAATAAACAAGGGAGTTAAAATGGTACACTAGAAATTATCTGTTTAACAAAAGAAGGTAGAAATGGAGGAATGAAGGAACAGAAAAGATATCAGACATGAAGAAAACAAGTAGCAAAATAGATGACACAGATCTTACCTTTTCAATAACTACATTAAATGTAAATGAATTAAACACTCCAATTAAAAGATATTAACAGGGTAGATTTAAAAAAAAACAAAACAGGATCCAGGGTGCATCTGGGTGGCTCAGTCAGTTGATCATCTGACTCTTGGTTTTTGGCTCAGGTCACAATCTCAGGATCGTGAGATCGAACCCTATGTCGGGCTCTGTGCTCACTGGGGAGTCTGTTTGAGTCTCCCTCTGCCTCTACCCCTACCCACCTTGCATGTGCATGCATGTGCTCTCCCTCTCTCTCAAATAAGTCTTTAAAAAAAACAGGATCCAACTATGTGCTGTCTATGACAGACACATTTTAGATTCAAAGACAGTGGTTTACTTTTCAACAAAGATTAAAACTAAAAGGTTGGAAAGGATATACTATGCAGGCAGTAATCAGGAAACACCTGGAGTCACTATAGTGATATCATACAAAGAAAACTAATATAAAAATTGTTACTAAAGACAAAGTACATTTTATAATGTATATGTTCTATGGATTATATATGATATAGTATATATTGTATATATTATATCATTGTTGATGAATTTCTAGAAAGACATAAACTATTGAAACTGACTCAAAAAGAAATTGAAAATCCGTATAGACCTATAACAATTAAAGAGACTGAATTGATAAAACATTTCACAAGGGTAAGAGCCCAGGACCAGATGGTTTCACTGGTACGGTCTACCAAACATTTAAAGAATTAACACCAAAAAAATTATTAAAAAAAAAAAAAGACTTCTCGAAACCAACACCATTACGTCTTTCCTTCTAAGATCATAAACAAGACAAGGGTGTCTACTCTTATCACCTGTATTCAACATCACACTTGGAGTTTTTAAACAGGGCAGTTAGGCAAGAAAAAGAAATAAAAGGCTTCCAGATTTAAGACAATGAAGGAAAACTATATTTGCAGATGTCATGATCTCTTATATACAGACAATATTAGAAAATCCAGCAACAACAACAAAAAAGCTATTAGAGTTAATAAACAAGTTCAGCAAGTTTGCAGGACAGAAAACCACTGTACAAGAAACAGCTGTATTTCTATATACCAACATTGAACTACCTGAAAGTGAAATTAAGAAGGGGTACCTGGGTGGCTCAGTCGGTTGAGCATCCAACTCTTGAATTCCAGGGTCCCGGAATCAAGTGCCACTTAAGGCTCCTTGCTCAGCAGGGAGTCTGCTGGAGGATTCTCATTCTCTCCCTCTGCCCCTACCCCCCTTGCACTCTCTCACTCTCTCTCTCTCTCCCCCTCTGCCTTCCCCCCTCCTTCCCTCTCCCCCCCTTAAGATAAATAAGTCTTAAAAAAAAAAAGTTTCACTTATAAAACACCTAGGAATAAAGTTAAAATGCAGATAAAATGTGGAGTATCTATATGATAGACTATTATTCAGCCGTAGTAAGTAATGGGACACTGATACCTGCTACAACAAAGGTGAACCATGAAAGCATGCTAAGTGAAAGAAGCTAGACAAAATGGCCACATGTCATAGTATCCCATTTATTTAAAATGTACAGAATAGATAAATCCATGGAGACAAAGTAGATTAGTAGTTGCCAGGAGCTAAGGGAGAAGGGGAATGGCTGCTAATGGGTAGTGGGTTTCTTTTTGAAGTGATGAAAATGTTTGGAATTAGATCATAGTGCTAATTACACATACCTTTGAAGGTACTAAGAACCACTGAATTGTACACTTTAAAAATATGGGTTTTCTGTAAATTTTTTAAGTGATAGTGTAAAAAAAGTGACCTGAAGGCTGTTTACACAAATATGTCTCTCAGTGCAAGGATTTCTTTTAAAATATCCTTGATAATGTATCTTCTATTAAAATGTTTGGTGATATTTTAGAAAGTTTTTATAATTTGTAGTCTTATTAAATTATTCTTCTTTGAATCTATACAAGATGTCTTCAGATCTTTTCTGTAGCAAAAAAAAATTTGCTGCTCAGGAATAATTCATTAAAAATTATAATCTTTTCAGGATGCTTGGGTGGCTCAAGTTGGTTAAACATCAGACTCTTGATTTTGGCTCAGGTCATGATCTCAGGGTCGTGGGATCGAGCCCTGTGTTGGGCTCCGAACTCAGCACAGAGTCTACTTGCCCCTCTCTCTCTCCCTCTGCTTACTCGCTTGCTCTCAGAGAAAGGAAGGAAGGAAGGAGATTTTTTTTTTTTTAAGATTTTCTTTATTTATTTGACAGAGACACAGCAAGAGAGGGAACACAAGCAGGGGGAGTGGGAGAGGGAGAAGCAGGTCTCCTGCAGAGAAGGGAGCCCGATGCGGGACTTGATCTTAGGACCCTGGGATCATGACCTGAGCCGAAGGCAGACGTTTAATGACTGAGCCACCCAGGTGCCCTGAAGGAAGGAAGATCTTAAGGAAAAAAAGAATTATAATTTTTCCTGCAATTATCTATGAAAATTTATCTTCTTTTATATTTCTTCACTAATTTGTTTTTCAGGGAATTAGAAATTCTACTTTATGCTCAAAGTAGAACTATACATTGTGTTCAGTTTTTTTTATAGCCTTCAGCTAGAACTAATCTCCAATAAAAGCACATTACATTGTGTTACATTTCTTTAGATTAAAGTTTTTTTGATCTTGATTTTCATTCAAGAACTACTAGCTAGGTATTTACCCAAAGAATACAAAAATACTAATTCAAGGGATACATGTACCCCAGTATTTATAGCAGCATTATCTACAATAGCCAAATATGAAAACAACCCAAATGTCCATGGACTGATGAATGGATAAAGATGTGGTGTATTAAAAAAAAAAAAAGTTGTGAGGTATTTTATATATATTTACACACACACACACACACACACGCGCAATGGAATATTACTCAGCCATAAAAAAGAATGAACTCTTGCCATTTGCAGTGACAGATGGAACTAGAGAATATTATGCTAAGCAAAGTAAGTCATTCAGAGAAAAACATATCATATGATTTCACTAATATGTGGAATTTAAGAAAGAAAACATGAGCAGAGGGAAAAAGAGGCAAACCATAAAACACTCTTAACTATAGAGGAAAAAAACGGATGGTTACCAGAGGGGAGGTGGGTGGGGGTGATGGGGATTAAGGAGTGCACTTGTTGTGATGAGCACTGGGTATTGTATGGAAGTGTTGAATAATTAACTTGTATGCCTGAAACTAACATTACACTGTATGTTAACTAACTGGAATTTAAATAAAAACTTTTTTTTAAAAAAGTATTTGTTTTAATTTAGCTACATAATAACATCCTTTATAGATAATACCAAATGTCAGGTCTTTACATGGTTAAAATGTTCTTTCATATAAATTTTATAATCCCAAGAATTTCTGGGCTCATAGTCGTTTTTTCCAAAATTGGTATATGATCTTTAACAGGTTTGAGATTTGATGTCGACAAAACACGCTTTCGTATAAAAATGGCTTGACTGTTCTTCCTTTCCAAAAATATTTGATCAAGGTTTCAAGCATTACTGTAGTCTATTCACTGATGATTTTTAGGGGGAAAAAACAACTTAAGTATTTAAAGCTATTACCATTCAAATATAATGCTCCCATGAATGTCCATTTAAGTGTTGCTAATAGTGGAAAAGGTACAGTGTCTTAAGATAGTGTGCTTGCAGTATATACTAGGTATTGGCAGCCTTTCAGAAATAAGAATGAAGTTGCTTACTTTCGAGTGGAATTGATCACCTCAGTAATTATTTACCCAAGGAAGGGCCCTGTCTTCAAACCATGTCTCCTTGTTCGTTTGATAACATTTACTCTATTTAAACGTCCATCTTCGAAATTTGAGCTATTAATACTTTACTCCAGAAGAATGGAATCTTAGTTTGGGGAAGAGAATTGGAACTGAAATGAGTAATAGGAGTGAACGTATGGCAGAAGTTGAAAGGATGCTACATACAAAATGAATGTCCCTCCTGTTGTTTGAGTTACTAGTGAAATAAGCTGCACAATATGATGACATTTGTTGATATTTCAAGTTATCAAATTAAGGTATGTTTCCCAAGAGATTGGTAGGCAACTTCCCGGAAAACCTGGAAGAAAATGTTTTGATTTTGGGGTACCTGGGTGGCTCAGTTGTTGGGCAACTGCCTTAGGTTCAGTCATGATCCCAGGGTCCTGGGATCGAGCCCCGCATTGGGCTCCCTGCTCAGCAGAAGCCTGCTTCTCCCTCTCCCACTCCCCCTGCTTGTGTTCCCTCTCTCGCTGTCTCTCTCTCTGTCAAATAAATAAATAAAATCTTTTAAAAAAGATGTTTTGGTTTTGCTCACTTGATGTTAAGCAAAGTATTCTTAGCGAATAAAATTGCTTTCATTAATAGTAATATTTTTACTCCATGATATACTTTAGTAAATTGGAACAAGAAGATATTTTAGTGATAAAGTTACTGCATGTAATTTTTTTTTCTGTGCCTACTCAAAAAACAAGCTATTGTGGTTTCTAATCAGTGTGAACAAATTTCTTTCAAATTTAAGATTCAGTTTGATTTACAGGTAAACAGTGTTGACCTCAGAACTGCCAGCCATGAGCAAGCAGCAGCCGCTTTGAAAAATGCTGGCCAAGCTGTCACGATTGTTGCGCAATATCGGCCTGAAGGTAATAAAATTCTTGCTGTCTGTGTTTGTTATTTGAGTTTTTAAGAATTCTTCCTCTTAATAATGTTTAACTTTCTGAGCTTAACATTTTTATGTTTTGATCTCTTTTATTAATCTAGTGTTTGTTTAGTCTGAACCTACTTCACAATCCAGGTCAAAGTGTGTTCAGTAGGATGTAGGCATTTGAGTATTTCACTGTTATTTGGATTAATTTTTAAGTGTTTATTTTTTAAAATCTGTCCTCTAACCAAACACATACCTTTACTAACTCAGTGATCCCAAAGGATCATAAAAACCATATGCAATGATAGCATTGCCAGAGAAAATTTGGTCATCCCAATTTTTTCTGACTTTTGAATTAGATTATGTTTGTTAATATCAAGATTTAAGATACATTTATAATACCCTTTGTTGCTGTTTAAAGAGAAAAAAATACAAGTTTGGTATGTAATGTGTTTCTAGATAGTGAAGTATCATGGACATGACCTAAGTTCCTAGGGGGGAAGAACGTGGTAATGGAAAACTTAAGGTCATGCTATATTTAAACATACGTAAAACTCTAGTGGTGTACATCAACATATCCACTTCTCCAGTAAAACTTCAGCGGCATATAAAAAGTGTAAACACCCAGAAGAATACATAGCATACCGGCTAGTGTTCATAAACAACAAGGTGAAGAAGGAAAGAATGATGTGACTAAAGGAGTAAGTGAAACAGTTTCTAATTGAGCAACTGATAAATTTATATTTTTTTCTTAGATTGGAATTTATTTTTGTAAGAAAACCTAATAATTTTTTTTAGCTAATCAAAGTAGCATGTAGGGCTTTCCTTGCTATTTCATAATACGTAGTTGTAAACCTCAGCATTTTAGGTCCATTAACTGAAAGGGGTAAATCCACTTACATAATGATAAATTCCAAATAAATTCACATTAACCAAACAAATAGAGACCAATATATGAAATCAGAATGCCAGTTTGTTAATTCAGTGAGAAACAAAACCTCCAATGGGGCCACGCATGCTTTCATCTTCTAGCCAGCACATTCTTGCCCTATAGGTATGCTGTATGGAAGCCAAGTTCTCAATATTTACTAAGATACTGTCTCCTTAGTATTATAGAAGGGTTCTCATTTATATAGATGCATAAGGAATATAGACTATTTAGGTATGATTAAAGGTAAGTCAATATCTGATCTCCTCCAGAAAACATACAAAAGCAACAAGGATAATAAAATATACACGCACTTCTACCAACAGAACTCCACCTCACATTAAGCAAAACTAAGATGACAGATTTAAGACCTGGACAACAAAACATAGGCAAAGGCTGGCTTACGCAGCTTGAGATCTGGCAGAAGCCGCACAGAAAGAGGGAAGAGTAAAAACATGGAATGTTGAGAATTCTCAGTGGTGGCAGAACTTAGAATATGACAGAAAATTACTCTTTCTAAAGGTGAGGAGCTTTTTGAGGTATAAAAACATCATCCTTTTAGTTTTGGCAAGACTAATGGGAATTGGAGTGAACATGCTAAAACAGAAGTCCTCCTTGATGTGGTTTGGTTTGGAGAAGTGGAGTAGTGGTATTTGGGTGAAAGAATCTGTCTGGATAGCATCAGATAATGTGACAGTCCTTTGGTTTCAAAGACCATGAAGATACTGTGCTTCCATCCCTCCTGCACCCCTTAACTTTCTGGTTCAGCCAAATAGCTGGTCCCCCAAAATCCAACTCATTCAGTAATAACTAGTTAAAAAGTAACTATCCTGGCATTCATACAAAGATATTAATAAGAAGTGGAAACAAACAGCAAAGCTTGGCAACAAATAAAAATTAGCCACACACACACAAAAGCATTGGCATAGATTAGATGAAAATTTGATCTTAATATTTTCAACAGCTAATACATTCATTTCTTTGAAAGAAGACCACTAAATAGAAGTTTAAGAACTGTATGGAAAAAATGGCTTCACAACCAAGAGATTGATTTTGAGATAGCAGAACCCAGGAAAGAAAAAGAAAGCATTTTCTTAAATTGAACACAAAGACAAAGAGATACTGCAGAAAAATCAATAGAGGATACAAGAGGAAAAATAAAATGAAACAAGGAGAATTTTAAAAGATGAGAGAGAAAATATTAGCAATAGAAGACAGGCAAGAATATATATGCAATAAATACATCATTAGACTTTCTAAAAAAATTTTTTAAGAAGAGAATAAATGTTTGAAATTATACATTGAAGCAAACTTTACTGAATTAAAAAGAAGTGAATATTTCTATTAAAAGGACACAACATGATAGGAAATTGACTCAGAATCATCAGAATTCAGACATATTCTAGTTAATGTTTGCCAGAGACCCAGGTAAAAATACTGAGTTATATTTAATAAGGAGTTAAAAATTTATTGATAGGAAGAACTGCTCTAATGCTTGGTAAGCATAGACCAGAACAAGGATAGTTAACTTTACCATTTTTTATATTTAGCAGCTTTTAAATAAGCCTAATTTACATCTGTATGCACTAGATATACTTGCCACTGATGGTTGGGAAGGGTAGGCTACCATTTTCCTAGGATAGTTATTGAATGGGCCCAAGAATCTTCCTTTCAGATTGTCTTTTTCTGTGCTTATACTGTTTTTCTTCTCTTTTGTTCTTTTTTTGAGATTTCTATACTTTTATAAGAACCTTTCTAATTGATACTTTTTCTTTAGTTGTATTCAAAATTTAAACTCTTCTCTTGATGGAGCCATTTTTTTATCAAGGAGAATTTGCATTCTACTTTGATTATTAAAGTAGCTACTGTTAGTGTTTCTGTTTCCAGTTTAGACCCTTATGTTGATTACTCTTATAGATGTATTCTTTTTCCCCAACATCTCCTGAGCACCAGACTTATGTATCTTATTTGATGTCACCAGCTGTATTTCTCCATAGTGTTTGCAACTGAGCATTCCTGAAACAATTATTTTACCATTTCAGTATATAGTACCTCCATTGATTCTTAAGCCAGAAGCCCCAGACAGAGCCCCTTTCTCAATCTCTGTGTATCCAGATACTTCCCTAACCAAAGCAACCATCCTTTCTTACCTAAACTATTCTGATAACCTCTAACAAGTCTCCTTACTTCTTTCTTGATTTTCTCCAATTCATTCTCTGTTCATCAAGCAAAATGATCTTTTTTTTTTTTTTTAAAGATTTTATTTATTTATTTGAGAGAGAGAGAATGAGAGATAGCACAAGAGGGAAGAGGGTCAGAGGGAGAAACAGACTCCCTGCTGAGCAGGGAGCCCAATGCGGGACTCGATCCC